CCAGCCCAGATATTCTATGATTCTATGCTTTACAGATTTCTACCTCCTACACACCCTTTGAAGACTGACTCCAGCCTCCAAAGACACCAACCAGGCTCCCCCATCCACAGTGGGTGATAATTTTCCCCTCCTGTGGTATTTTTGACCTGTGAGGTGGTGCAGAAGTGGTTGTGAGTGCGCAGAAATGTGGCCGGGGAGCAGAGGGAGGGACATGTCTCCTGAGGGCAGGCAAGGTAGACGGAGGCAAGGGGCTCCAAGACCCTCTGACTTGGGCAACTGCAAGCAAATAATCCCTGGCTAATGTGACACCGGTATCCTTCCTTAGCCTTGGTGCCTGTTCCCAGGTGGCAAACAGTTTCAGTGGTTGGAAAGGTCTGGCTCCGTACAGCCCTTCTACTTACAAGCAGGTGGATGCCAGAAACACCCTCCCCTCACAGCAGAGAGCAATGTTGAGGCAAAGAGCTGTCTGAATCATTTCAGAGATTTGTTGGGCTCGTTAAAAACTATTATGAAAAAATAAAATAAAAAGGAAAATGAAAGGACAAAGTGTCATTATTTTTTTCTGCTGACAAGCAAAGTCAGTAGAGCATGCTGTCACAGGAGCACCCCAGGCAGGGGGAGATGGGCTACCAGCATGAATATGGCCTCAGGAGAGTGCTAGCCTAGGTGGCAGGCCTGCAAGCCCCTCCATGCCACATACCTGAGGGTCCATTCCAGCCCTCTTTGAGCAGTAGAGACACAGCCCAGGATGCCAGGAGGGAACTGGAGTTAGCTGGATGCTGAGTCTTTAGTCCAGCCCTCACCACGGCTCCCTCCAGGAACAGGGTGTGAAACAAGCTGTAGGTGGAGAGGAACCCAGAGAAAAATAGAGTGGGTTTTTCCCCTTTGGAAATCTGGGGAATGCCACTCCCAAGAACATACCTGTCACCATGCCAACATTTATAGTGCAACGTTCTGTTTACAGGAGGAAAAAAAAATGCTGTTAAGTCTCACAAAACCACAGCCTAATATATGTAATCACGGTGTCAGATTACCACCATATGGAAGGCAGCTTCCCCTATATATTAAACTTCCCCACACCTCAGTCACGTGCCAGAAGCAGAGCTGCAGACAAGGAGGTAAGAGACTACTGCTCAGGGCAGGAGATCTTCTCACTGCCTTCAGCAATGCCATCTCCTTGGTGGCCCAGGGGCTCTGGGTTTTTGCTGCATGAGATTTCTGCTTGAATAAGGGTACTGAGATTTGTCCTGTAGTTCTGGATTTAGGTCACCTAAATTTAAATGGCTATCATCCATACAGTGAGCCTGTCTGCCTAGGCTCCCCTCATAGCCAGTGTGGGGAAATGGATGTTCCAAGAGCACCACTCAGTCTGAAGTAGATAGTCACAATGATTCAGACAGTTTGCATCTTGAGAATGCCAATTTCTGAGTATAAAGAAAGTCTCAGGAGATTCAAGTGAAGCTGTCCAAGTGTGGTGAAGGCCGTTTGTATATAGAAAATGGGCAATGAATAAGGGTGTTAATGGTGGGAGAGCAGCAGCACAGGGTAATGGATATTACTAATTTTATTTTTTCTGAATTAAATATTGGGGTTTGAGATTTGGAGGAAGTTACCGAGATGTTGTAGAAGATGAGGATCTGAAACACCAGCAGAAGTGAGAGGTCACAAGTGTCTTGTGAACAGTTGCATCTTGGTTTGTGCTGGCGCAGGAGAGCTGCCAATGGTGTCTCTTATGAAAAGACACGTGACTCCATTTGTGTATTGCTTTGCCTACCCAACCAAGAGAAACAGCCCATCAGCTCAGAAAGAGTTTCTTTCTGTTTATTCGTCAAGCAGTGAGGTATACTTGTGTCTTCATGTGTGTCAGTGCTGGCTGATTGATTTTCAGGTTGCTCTGCGTGCTCAGGAAAAACCAACCCATGTACCCGACGCTCGTGCTGCTGGGCCTCGCTGCCCTCCTGGGTAAGTCTGGCATCGCTCCCTGCCGCTCCCCAGGCAGCTGGGGACACACTCCCCGGGGCCAGGGAGCAGGAGACATTGATGTGCCTCCTCGCCCCCCTCCCCAGAATCTCAGTTGCCATTAAACTCTATCAGAGGAGAAAGAGTGCTTGGGTCCCCTTGTGAGCCCTTCAGAAGGAGGGGTGGCTCCTGAGGGACAGGTGGGCAAAAGACACAGGGCAGGACTTCACAAGGAGCAACAGAGGCACCCCCGCATGGCTTCTGCACCCCACAGCCCATCCTCTCTGGGGTGCAGCCTCCCCTTGTGTTTCACTTGCAATCACAGAAGGTTTTAACTGCTTGAGCCTTTCCGTGCCACTTCTGCAGGTGCCTCCCAGGGCCGCACGGATTGCTACGGCAGCGTAAGCAGAATTAACACCCCTGGAGCTTCATGCAAAACGGCAAAGCCGGAGGGTTTATCCTACTGCGGTGAGTAGCCCTCTTCTACCAGATGACTCCATTTCTCCATGGCACAATAATTCTAAATCCTTCACATTTCCAAAGTGCTGAACACAAACTAGCTGCTGAGCCTGTGTAATATTCCTGTAGGTGATATCTACCTCCTCCCAGAGGCAAGGCAAACAAAATGTTGATGTAATGCTGTCTGTATTAGAAGGAGAGAGGTGAGAGATGGTTCTGGGTTTTAAAAGTTATTAAGCATGTATCTTTATTTTGGTTTTAATTACAGGAGTCAGGGCTTCAGAAAAGATTGCTGAACGGGACCTAAGAGCTATGAATCAATATAAAGCAATCATTAAGAAAGTTGGTGAAAAACTGTGCGTTGAACCAGCCCTGATCGCTGGCATCATCTCCCGGGAATCTCACGCCGGCGCAGCACTGAAGAAAGGCTGGGGAGACAATGGAAATGGGTTTGGTTTAATGCAGGTATTTGCTGATACTCCACTGAAACCTGATAAACAAGTACTATATAAATAAAAACAAGCCTCCTAAATATATCAGCCACTACAACAGGGAAATTAATTCTTTCTGTTATTTTGATATTTCTAGGTTGACAAAAGATCACATAAACCTGTGGGACAATGGAACAGCGAAGCTCATATTAACCAGGGCACAAACATACTTATCAGCATGATAAAGACAATACAGAAGAAGTTCCCGCGTTGGACAAAGGATCAACAGCTGAAAGGTGAGGCAAGAGGCCACGAACTGTCCAGGAGAGAAGAACAACTTTAGGATGAGAACATACTGAATTAGTTCCCATGTTCCTCAAAACCCATATTTCTAATAGGCTGTCGCTTAGCTTTTCACCCCTCTTTTATTTCAGCAAAAGACAAGCTTTGGCAATTCTGTGTAGTTTCTGCCTTTCCTTGTACGGCAGCCTTGCTGAATTTCCAACACCATGCAGCCAATTTGTATACACCTGAAATCTAGTCCATATAAGAGCTGAGCTTTCCTTATCCAACCATAGTCTCCTACAGCTATTCAGATTAATAAGTAGCTCCATGGTTTATCTGAATGGGGCCAGCAGTTCACTGTCTCTGTTGAGAAAGGAGACAAGGTGTTTGCTCACAGGGAATTCCAAAACTGTGCTGTGCAACATGGAAAAGCCACCTGCTTCAAAGCAGGCTGCACCCTTCAGCCTCCTCGGACCTCTGCAGTGCCATGGCGGGCTCGTTTCACAGCCAGCTCAGACAGCTCTGGTTTTCTGCACAGCATGTGCAGTAGTGTGTACACAGTTGAGAGACAAAGATAATGCAATGTCTGAGGGTGTCTTAACTCTCTTTAAGTGCAGTAATTTTCAAGGATGAATGAGAAGTTAGAAAGATGTTGGATATAATTGATATGATATGATATGACCCTATTCTATTTTATTATAAACAAGCTCAGTGTAAAGAAAGGGCTTGTGCTGGGCCAAGTGTATGGTACAAGTTCATCAAGCTCCAACTATCTGCGAACAAAAAACCTCAGACATCTTTCTGATGTTTTGGTGGAGTCAGGAATAAGTGTGAACTGTTTGCAGAGCTCCACTTAAGTCAGAGAAGATCCAGTAAAACTGCCTACTCTCCTTCCAAGATCCCGATAAGTGAAAGCTTTCAAAACAAGTAAAACACATCAGGTTGGAGTTTTCTGTGGTTTTTTTTTTAAAGTGTGTATGAGTTTTTTGCTGTATTGTTTCAGGTGGTATTTCTGCCTACAACGCTGGTCCTGGCAACGTCCGGAGCTACGACAGGATGGACGTTGGCACCACCCACAATGACTACTCTGACGACGTGGTCGCACGCGCCAAGTATTTCAAGGCACACGGGTACTAGACTCGGCAATCTCTGCTGAGTAACTTCCTTACCTTCACCTGCATGACACCCCTGAGGGAGACAAGACACAGCAGCTGCACCCTGCAAACCCACAGAGATGCAAACATAAAGGGATGATTTCCATGAATAAGTATTTGCAGACCAGAGCCCTGATGTTTCAAAACAATGTTCAGTAAGACACTAGTCATGTAGTTTCTTTACAAGCACTACGGTTTGGATTTTACAAAGGGAATATTACCAATTTTTTTTTTTTCCAGCTTTCTACAAACTTCTCTGAGTTATGATGACTATCTTGGTTTGCTATTGATAATTTACTGCCTTCCAGATCTTAAAACACAAAAAATAACAAAATAGTTCCTGGGGTATTAGCTTCATGATTATTTTTTCACAGCTGCTTGATATTTGCATTATGCTGTGGAGTAGCCTTTTTTTTCTGAATGCTAATTTTTCATATAAATGCATAGAATAGTAACGGATCTTTTCAGTCATATAGGAATAAGCAAACAGAAATTGAATAAAAGTGTTATTGTCAAACAAAGCAAGTCTCCACTGTACTCATATTGTCGTGTCTGTTAGCAAAGTTTGGATAAGTACAATGTTAACTTTAGGCAGATAGAAAAATGGAGAAGGGAACAGGATGAAATACATGTTTGTCCTTCATAAAATTATTTTCCCTCTTTCTGCACAGAGGGACACACAGAAACAAACAAACAAACCAACCAACCCAAAAAAACCAACCAACCAAAAAAAAAAACCCAAACCCCCACAACCAGTCTGCGTTGGGTATATTTTGGTGCTCCTGTTCCTTCTAGACCTGGAACTGAACTACTTTAGATGTGGGAGGGAGAGGGGTAGATGGCTGCAGGATGGAGAGACACTCATTCTCCAGGGCCAAAGGAGGAGCTGGGTTTGTTCTGGCAGCAAACAAGTCAAGCTGTGCCTTTCCTACCAGCATCCACTTGCATGCTGAGGGAACTGCTTTTACTCTTCCATGATGAGCACACCTTCTGAGACTGGGAATAACTGTATGTCAAAATAATTAGAAAATCCACTGACTGCAAGCATCTTAAATGGATAGGAAAAAGAAATCTGAAGCCATTAACAGCACACAGGGTTATGATACACATCCTCCCAGGAGCAATGAGAGACCACGCTGAACACATGCAGCACGGATTTAAACAGGGTAAATCATGCCCAGCCAACCTGTTTGCCTCCTGTGATGAGATGACTATCTAGAAGGCAAGAGGAGCAGATATGGTATTCCTTGACCTGGCAAGGTCTTTGTCCCAGGCTGCTGTAGTATCCTTATAGCCAGACTGGTGAGAAGTGGACTGGATAGGGAGATAGAAGATTGGGTAGAAGGTTGCCAGGCTCAGCACATGATGGCCAGTGTTACAGGGTCCAGCTGGTGGCCAGTTTCTGATGGCATGCCCCAGGGTGGATCCTGCAGCTGCTGCAGCTTTATGTCTTCAGCAGCAATTCAGACTAGGGACAGAGAATTCTCCCAGCAAGTTCACAGATGATACCAAATGGCAGGTCCTGAAGAGACTGGAGAAATGGGTTGATGTAACCTCATGATGATCAAATAAGACAAAGGCAAAGCCCTGCACCTGGGACAGAATAACACCGTGCACCTTATGGGCTGGGAGGCAACTGTTCAGAAAGTAAGCTGTGCAAAAAGGAACTTGGGGGTCCTAGTGGACACCATGGTCCCTCATGGAGATATAGACTAAGAGTATCTTGAGCTGCATTGGCAAAATTCTAGCCAGCAGGGAGGGTAATGATCATTCACTCTCTTTTGAGCTGGTGAGACCCCATTTAGAGGACTGTATCCAGTTTGGGACTCCCTGATACAAGAGGGACACTAACATGCTGGAGTGAGTCCAGCAGAAGCCCCCAATCTGGTCAAAGGCTGGAGCACAGGACATACAAGGAGAGGCTGAGGGAGCTGGGTCTGCTCAGCCTGGAGAACTGTCAGCTTTGGGGTGACCATGGTGTCTGGGCCCCAGCTGCACCGATGGGCTCTGTAGCCTCTTCTCCCTCTCTCCCTAGGGTCTGGCTGCCTGCACTGAAGGTCAGCTCTGATACTGCACTATGACAAGCCTCATCTGTTCTCCCCTCCCATGCACCTTCTTCCTGCTGGCTCAGGAGCTGCATTTATGCTTAGAACCCTATCCTAAGCCCTCAGCTGAGCTGCACTGGAAGTCAGCCTGTGCCTGGCTTTCTAACCTACTTAACCTGATTTTGCCTCACTGACTTTCCTTCCCAGCTTGCTCTTGAACCTGTCTTGTAACAGACTTGTCCTAGCAGCTCATAGTCTGAAGGTGCTGTGAACAGTCTGCATGGGAAGGCAGGCTGGGAGGCATACAGCCCAGGGTACAGTGGCTCTGTATGTCTCTAACCATGCAATACACAGCCAGGAAAGAAGTAAATAGGTTGGCCATGTCCATGTGCACAGAGTAGAGCAGGTACACATACACAAATGCAAAAATGCTAGTTTCCCATTTGGGCCTTTCATTTTTAGTCAGCAGTGACTACAAAGCATTAAAGTTGTGTTTTTTGGTTTTTGTTTTGTTTTGTTTTTGGTTTTGGTTTTGGTTTTGGTTTTGGTTTTGGTTTTGGTTTTGGTTTTTGGTTTTTGTTTGGTTTGGTTTGGTTTGGTTTTTTAATTGTTTTTCCGTAAAACACAAATGATCTTTGCTGTACTTAGGTGAGGTCATGAGCAAGACTTTCAAAATACTTGAGAATTTATCTAAAGTCTCAGCTTGGCTTTGCAAGTCCCAAGACTTGAAAAAACTAACTTCTTAAACAAGACACTGAAATTTGTGCAATTTGTGTAACTTTCGTGTCTCAGACCTGTTTGCACTCTTCAGCACTGGGCTTCCCATCAGCTGATGGGACAAGTAGAACTGCAAAAACTCCTGGAGACTTTTGATATCAAACCAAGAAAAAAAACCCAGCAGGGCTTTGAAACATTTGTACAATTTGCTGCCTGTAAGAGCCACAGCCACTGCTCTTCTTCTTTCAGTACTGTGTTGGATTGATCCACACTGCCAGGCTTAATGTCTTTTTGATTGCTTAAATGCTAAATTATAAAACTGAGTTTTGGTACACTGATGTAATAAAATTATTTCTTAAGTATGAATTATTACAGAAAAAAACAAATAAAATTACCACAGCAGTAGCTGAGAATCATGTATCATGAATGGTATAATTTACTGATGGGTCTACAGTACATAAAAATTATACGGGGAAAAAAGAGGCACCACTTGATCCAAACTAATTTAATCCTACATCCAACACCAAGGAGCTAAAACACAACTGCAACAATAAACCATGTGAAGAATAATCCACTCAAAAATTTTATTACAATTGGGCTTGTGTGACTCTTCATGAAATACAGGAAGGGCCTAAAAGCAATCTTTAACTTTGTTTTAGCCTGCCTTCAACATTATTTTGTATCAGATGAGTCCTGTTCGATCTCCTTTACCAAGAAAACTTCTGCTAAATGTGTGCAAAAAACTCTGAGCGCTGACTTACCAGAATGGAAGAGAGGCTTGGTTTATTTTACAATAAGAGGTCCTTACTTCTTCTTACTGAAGAAAAACAAGGGCTAAAAACAACAGAAATCAGACTTGCCTTCATGGACGTGCTGCTTTCACACATAGTTTAAACAGCTTATCCAGCTCCCACCTTCTGACTTGGGAAGGGTCACTAGTTCATTGCTTTTATTGAGTTTATTGAGGAAAACACTTCCAGGATATGTGAGACTCCATGCACGCATATATGATTAAACAATAATTTCTGGATAGGGCTCCAGATGACACAGGAGGTCTACCTGCTTGCCTCAGTTACTGTGGTGTAGAAGAAGAAACCTAGCACATTCTTTATGATTCTCCCCAGCAATGAGAGAATGGTAGCACAGGCCATTTGGAGCTTACTGCTTTGTGAATCTTCAGTGGTATTCTGAATTTTCAAAAATTTTTAACATCACTGCTGTATGAGTCCTATCAGTTCTAGTTTCCTTCCCACCAGACATACTCCCTTCTGTTTCAACCTTCTTTAAACTCACTTATAATCACGAATCTGGAGAGCTCCTTGCATGGGCTGCTGGGAGTGTTTGCAGCTGGTTCTTTATGGGAGGTATCAACAGTACAGGAAAAACTCAAAGAATTGAATCTTTCAACACAATAGCATGGGATGAATTCCCCTGCTTAAAATGTGAAGGAAAAGAGCAGAACATCATTTTACCCTCACAAAATTTACTGTGGAGGCAGAACATGTCAGCATGGATTAGCAGTGACAGGGAGATCTGCCATCCAGTGATTTCTTTGTTACTGCTGAACAGCTACAGTAGCTTTGAGCCATGCTGCCTGCCAATTTGGGTTTGTGCCTTCACCTTTGTTGTTGCTGTACAAGAGGGGATAACAACAGGGATCTGACATAGTCTCTGCGTATCCAAACTCAGCTCTTGCAGCTTTGTGCCATGTTATTGTTCCTGGGTCTTTGTCTGTAAAAACTTAAAAAAGTTTACCAAAAAAAGTTACAAAAATTACATCCAAAAGCACAAGTTCCCATATTCTCATTGTCAGCACATTATTCCTTCCAACAACTGAAGAGGGGCAGCTGTTTTCAGATGAGGCTTCTACTAGTTTCAAACTGTTAGCAACTGGGTTTGAAATCAAATTAAAAGGTATTTAATTTTTAAAATTGTAGTTTCATTAGTGCTGCAGAGCAGAAACCTTGTTGTCTTTGGATGGACCCACAAGCCATTTTCAGGCTCTCCTGTTTCCAGTAATACCAGCAGCATGAGGGAAGTGCACTGAGTCATCTGCTCCAAAACACCTGCAGCAGATAAAAACCCCATTTGTTTCTAGGACGTGCAGTGAGAAGGTGGGGAGATTTTTCATCCTGCACCAAACATGTCAGGTCTGTGATGTTTGTCTAATATTCTTGTAAATAATTTACTGTACCCAAGTCTGTTTTCTATTAACTGCTCGGCATGGGTTAGCATTGTTCCCTTCAGTTGCTGTTTTTCTGTTTTCCCTTCTGCAACGGTGTGCTTAGACAATGGCTAAATGCAGATAAATTGCAAGTTAAACAAACTGCAAGTCAGATAATTGTAATGGATGTAATTGAAGGATGTTTCTCTTCAATTTTATTTGTTGACAGTAGCTATGGAAAAGCAACGTGGAGCCAGTAAGTACTGTAGGATTCCTTTTAATCATGATAGATTTAAAAAAAAAAAATTAAATAGAAAAAAAACACCTTTTGGACATTTCTTTTTCCATTGGCTATGCAGGCAGCTCAAGGCACAAGCCTAGAATAGATAGCTAAGTTTTAGGCAAACCAAAATTTGAGAAGAAGAATTGTGCACAAGCTAGCTCACTTCAAAGAGCTGTGCCATGGCTTTATGCTAGCACGACTGAGAGGTACCCTCCCCAGACCACAGGATGCCATGACTGCACCTGTTAGAACAAATGCCTGCACTAGTGTCAAACAGGTTTCAGTCACAGACCTGAAAATATCTGAATGGCATGCACCATGCACTGCACTGGCCTGATGTTTGATGTAAATGTTGCTCTTAGGCTGTTGGCAGCAGTATGGGAATATACTGTATGTTGACACAACTAGAGCTTTGGTGGCAACTCCAAAAGCAGAAGGTCTGAGCTATGCAGGCAGGCACTAAATCAGTTGTTTATCTCCCGTTACATCCATGCACAAGCTCACGCCTACCATGGAGCCCCATCTCTGGCTGTCAGTCATTGCCATGCAAGCAGATTTTTCCACAAACAGCAAAGATTCTACTTGGGCATGTAAGTTTATACTGGGAATAGAGTTGCCTTTGAAATGATATTCAAGACCACCACAGAGAAAATGCAAGGTCTGCTGGGTGCATCCAAACCCTGCCATCAAACCTGCTTTTCTCTCTCCCTTAAGAAGGTTCCCCTCACAACCTACGTTTCTGAACATTTCCCCATCATTGTCTTAAATTAAAAGGAACTACATCTGGGACTAATGCACCCAAAGGCTTAGACTTAAAACAAGAAGACACAGTTTTTATTCTGCATGCTAAAGAACTGCCCTCTGTATTTGAAAAGACACCTGTTATATCATCTGTGTGTTGATTTCTATGGTGCTTACAGTTCAGTAAAATCAGTCAATTCTGTCATTGCTTTACTCTAAGATTCAGAAGAATTCAAAATGTCACTTTGGTCATAATGGCTGTTAGAACAACTTGTTCCTGATTTTAAAAATTAAAGGAAAAGTCATGCATGCTGTGTCGTAGGAGTTCCTGCCTCAGAGAGGATTGCAGAAAGAGATCTGAGGAACATGGAGAAATACTGTACCAAGATTGTGGAAGTTGGGCACAGCATGTGTGTGGCACCAGCTCTGATTGCTGGTATTGTCTCTCGAGAGTCACATGCTGGGGCAGTGCTGGAAAATGGCTGGGGTGACATCAAAAATGCATTTGGTTTAATGCAGGTATAGTCAACCTTCTTAAAAATACAAATCTCACCCTTCTTTTGAAGCATGAAGTCAGAAGAGCAGCAGGGGCCCCACTGAAAGGCAACTCCCTAAACCTTTTCAGAAAACACTTTGGCCAGAATAACAATAATAACTGACCTAGCTGTCAGATGCCAGCACTGGGAAGGACCCCAGTGAGTGTCAGGGTATGACTTGACTGCTTCTGCACTGTGAAACCACTGCTTGCTTCCCAGTGCTTTTTTTGGCAATTAAGAGATTAATAATTCCTATTTCATACTTTAGATAACAAATCTTGTTTCAAAAAGCATTTTTAAGTAATCATGGAGGCTTGTAGGCTGCAGCTACATACAATCGGGTTAATTACCCTTTATACACCACAGGGACCTGGCTAGTGGGAGATCTTGCTTCATTATTCATGCCTACATTCACGCCTCACTTGCTGTCAAATTGTACACTTGCCTTGCAAACCCTAAACATTTGCTGCATGCATTGGGATCTGCTTTTGTAACAGCTCCAGTCCCTTCAGACTTGTGCCTTACTACCCCATGGATAAGAGCAGGAGGAGGGAGAGGACAGAGGAGAAGGAGGGCAGAAATGGAGCAGAGATTGAGGGGAGATCCCTAGAAGAAACAGGGGGTTGCCAACCCTTGATGCAGCTGGGGAGGAGAGGAGCAGTCCCTTCACAGCTGGGAAAGCTTAAACAGCAGTAAGCTGCTTTCTGCACCCTGTCACCCTTACAGCAGCAGCTCTGTTGGGTTTTTAAGGCTCTGACAGACAAGGAGATGGGGCAGACAGCCTGTAAGCAATGAGGAGAGACAGTGGGGTTTCTGGTGTGCTGATATTGCTGTCTCATTTTCAGGTTGACAAACGGTACCACGACACTGTTGGTTCATGGGACAGTAAAGAACACCTAACAAAAGGTGCAGAAATTTTCAGAGGGATGTTAGAGCAAATGCAGAAGAAATTCCTAGACTGGACAAAGGAACAGCAGCTCAAAGGTAGAGTTCTGTGAGCTTGAAAACACTTCACACACATAAAATGATGAAAAACCAAGCACTTCAGAAAATTAACACATTCCAGTCCCCCTTTTCATTTTATTGAGGTGTGGAACAATATTCCTTGACGCTCACTGAAAAGAATAGAGGAATAAGGTGTGGTTAGCTTTCTAGCAGGCTTTTGAAAAATTTGGCAAATGTCATGACATTGTTCAGTTTCAAGGCGTAAGGGTGAGTTCTTCCCTGCCTCTCTTCATTTCATTTGTTTTGTGTTGCTATACCCACCTACAAAAAGCTACTATCCTGGCAACTTCAAAGAAGGAACACATTAATTTTTAAAATGTTTGGTCCTCCTTGAAGGAAACATGGTTATATTCTTGAGCACAGTTTACAGCTGAGGCAATCTTGGTCGGGTCCCTTTACTCCAGCTGCAATACAAATACGTCTGAGGTTGTTAACACAAGTAGACAGGAAGAAATATGCAAAAAAAGAAACAGTCATACAAGTGAAGATGTTATGTTAGCAAAATACAGCAAGGAGACAATGATCACCAAGTCTGGACATACAGGAGTGAAAAAATTACTCACAAAGTTAAAAAGAACACCATAGCTGGAAATGGCAATATAATACTGGTGAAAAGAGGGCTGCAAACTAAAGCAACATGTTTAAATTGTGATTTTTGTTTGCTTATTTACTGACAAAGTATATCTGTTTATGCCTTTCCTTCACTCTCATTTCAGCTGCCATTTCAGCCTATAATGCAGGACCTAGTAAGGTCCAGCACTACGATGGAGCGGACGCTGGCACGACACAGCGGGACTACGGCAACGATGCGGTTGCAAGAGCCAAGTTCTATAGCAGAAAGGGATACTGAGATAGCCAAGTGAGTGTTAGATTTGAGTCACTGACTGCATGCTTTGCTTCTACTTTAAAAAAATCCCGAATTTCTCCCCTAGAAAGAGTCAGAATGGGGGTTGAGAATGGAGGAGGGCAATGAAGCTGGAAAAAAATGCAAGCTTTCAATGTTCATTTTCAAGCTAAGGCTAAAAATATAACTTAAAAAAACCCCACCACTAGTAATCCAAAGTACAACCTATCTTTTGCTGTTTATTTTTTATTTCACTTTATGAGAACATTCAGAGTTCTCACCTGTGACTGCAACTTCTCAAACAGCAGATTAAAGCAGCAAGAAAGGTGTAACACTGCTTAACAATATTTTATCTGCCTTAGATCTTATCTGTCAACATACACATCTAACAGCAGTAAAGAACTGGTTGTTAACAATTTGCAGGTTTGGAATTGAGTATTTCAATAAACATTGCATATGCTTAAACTAGCAGAAGACTGTATCACAGAGTATTTTCATAATAATCCCTCTTAACTTTGGTGGTGTTACCCCAAAGCAGCTGCTTCTTTGTGACAGGAGGGAAAATACTAAGATATCTTTTTTTTAATTATTTTTCTTCATTTTAGCCTTTACAGTCATAAACAATCTGTACAACTCATGCTGCTGTATTGAATACTTCTACTGAAGCTGTATATTAGCTTCAGTGCAGGGTTTGGAGTAAGAATATACACATTCCATCACGTTTTTCAAATGGCATGCAGTTTACAAAATCTGATGCAAGCTTATGCACAATGAACAGATCTCTTTCATTAATTATATAGCAAGATTGTGGGGAGCCTTAGGTTCAGAGTTGTTTGGCTTATTCAGCCATTTCAGGACACACTGGAGAAAAGGAAGTGTTTAGAGTGGATAAAAACATGCCTCAAGCAGATCACTAGGGGAGAAATAACAAAGAGCACAAGAGGGTTGTTCCTTTAGTTTTAATATGGTGCATTATTTATAGCTAGTGTTTTGTACCTGTGATTAAAAACATCCTGATGCTATTAGTAAAATTGTATCCATCTACTCACACTACAGTATTAAGTGCCAAATCTGAAATGGTCAATGAACCTGCAACAGAGCAATAGCACAGAAACAGAAATCAGTGTATTTCTACATCACCACCACATACTGCACCAAAGACGTGTTTGAGTATACTTTAATTGCTCCAGCAGGTAGACATGGCAAATGGCTACTAGCCAAGGAGCAAGTTCAGTGGGAGCCAGGTGTGTGCCCAAGCAGCAAAGGCAGCTAAGGTCACCCTGGGCTCTATGAACAGCAGCACAGCTTGACCAAGGGAGGGGATGACACGCCTCTGCTAAGCACTCGGTAAAACACATCTAGAGTAGAGTCCAGTTCTGGGCCCTCTGACACAGGAAGGGCCCACTAAGCAGAGAGCCACTGTGCTGGCTGGGGCTGCTGCACTTGTCCCATCAGAAGGGAGACCTGCAGGGGGGGGCCTAACAGCAGCGCCTCCCTGTGAGGGATAATCGAGCAGATGGAACCAAGCTGGCTCTCCTCCTGGTGGTGGAAGGTGGAAAGGGAAGTGACAACAGGCACAAGCTGAAAGAAGAGAGGTTCAGACTGAATGCAAGACAGTGTTCTGCATGTGTATGTATTTTGCCAGGGAGCAAAGCAGGCTGCCCAGAACGGCTGAGCTGTCCCTGTCCTCAGAGTGTTTCAAGACAGGGCTGAACAAAAGTCCTGAGTAACCCAGTCTGACCTCAGTGCTGGCACTGTGTAGAGCAAGAGGTTGGACTACAGACCTGTGAGGTACCTTCCAACATGACTTCTGCTCTCATCTTAAGTCAGTCTGCTTGTTCCCTGGACAAAAAGGCAGCATCTCTTACCTGTGCATCATGAAGATTTACATGAAGCACATACAATGCTCCAATAATCAAAGGATGTGGACACACACTGAGCTTGTGCACCATGTTGGCTCAGGTTTCAGACGTGAAACCAAATCTTTAGAGAATGTATGCTTATGCAGAGAAAGTCTGGGATAGCAGATTGTCTGTGACAGTTGTGACACTGGAGCAAATGCCATTTCAGAAACACCCAAACTTACACATGTATTAAAAATTTTAATAAAATTCCTTCTTCATTAAAACTGACAGCCTGTCGAATAAAGACAGCTGTAGACATGTCTTGTAGCCAAACCTTACCCGGAAATAGCAGATGCTATCTAAAGCATTCTCCCTTCTCTGTACTTGGGAAGGATTTATCAGCTCTGCTCTAACTTAGGTCATCTACCACACTTTTCCAGTTGAGCACAGTACCAAGCAAGCTGGTTCATTAACAGATTCTTTCCAGCTCACATTGCAGTGCTTTAGAAGGTTGTAGCAGTTGTATAGTGTAATGTATAGAAGATCCACATTCATGCACACACTCTGTACAACAGGACTGGCAGCACTCCCCCTCTTGGCAGATTCACCAGGCTGCAGTGCTGCAGATACAAATCCTGAACGTGTCTGGCAAGGCTCAGTGATCCTGGCTCTAGCACTCTGGGCCACCAAGCCTGATACAAGACTTATATTTGCTATTTCTCAGCAACAAGATCCATCTGCTTAATTTTCTGGGCCCTACTACTTGTGCCATCTCTTTTAACAATGTCCTGTACCTTGGATGCACTACATACATCCTTAAAAGGATTGAAATTTCAGCTTTACTAAGTTCCACCCTGTGAGAACATGGTCAACACCACAGAGAGCCTGAAGTTGTAACACTACAACACAAGACGCTGCACAAATTCTGGAACAAAGGAAGGAAGAAAAGCAATACTCCTTTACCTGCTTCACTTTTTCCTTGCTATTTTATATGCATGAGTAATTTCTGTGTCCTTCCAACTACAGCACGTGGCTTGTCGAGAAATTGAGGGCTTTCAGCTTAATATCATGTTTCTGCCTTCAGCCTGCCCATTGGAGCCATTGCATTCTTCAGTGCCTTCACTACCACAGCCTGTGCTTTTTCTCCTGCACACAGACTCTCCTGCTTATACATCCCTCAACTGTTAGGTCTCCTCCTTTGAACTCCTACTTGTGTTTACTCTTCTCTGCAAGCATGCAGAAAGGATAAACATTCCTTTTCAGCAACTGATCCTTCTAATCTCACAACATACAGTCATTAAGATTAACTCCTCTGCAGTGTGTCTAGTGTGGGAGAGGCTCACAGTGTGTTAAACTAGGGAACTTATTGTTGCTGGAATGAAAACTACTTTTATCATTTGATACAGAAGCAGCTTCCTAACTTCAGCCACAGTTCTGAAACCCTAAATAAAAATATACACACAGTACTGTTCAAGATCTTCAGTAGAAGTTACTTTATAAGCTTGAAACCCATAATTACTAACTTGCATTAAAGAAGTACACTTCATGGCCCCCAGGTTTCTAAAGTTTGTTATTTTAGAACAGGAAAAGCATCGATTTTCACACAGACTGCAGCCCTTAGGCTATTATTATTAAACATTTAGGATCAAGAAATACATACGAAGTGAGATCGTGTGTTTCCCGAATGACAAATTACACAACCTACCAAGACATTAATCACACCTTCTGTTCCTCCCAAATGAGGAGTTCAGGTACTTTTTAAGCTACAGAGGAGGCCAGATGACAGACTGTTTGCTACAGAACAAGAGTGAGATCTGGCTGACCCAAGTTAAGTCACCCAAATGTCTGCCACAACCAAATGACACTCTCAGTGGACAGCCAGTCAATTCTCATGTAACTGCTCCACAGAGAGTGTTTGAATTCCACCTCCTTCTCTTGTGCAGCAAAGGTGAAGTCATGCCCTCTATTACTGCAAACCTTTACCGTTAGCTGGGAAACGTCCTCATCATCATCAGTTACTTCTCTGCTTATCTGACTTCATATATGACCAGTTCTCTAATAGCTGGCCATAAACTGAAGTAATCTACCCACAAAATTAAAACACGAGGACAGAAAGCCCATCATTCATTTAATATGTCAAGCAAATATTAAGAACTCCGAATTCTATATTTCTACACATGTACACGTTTCTTTAAGTACCAGTGTCACCTCTGCCATTTGTACCAGGCAGGGTAAGAATTAAGCTTACATTTCAAACACAAATTCTTAATTCAGGATTAAAATGATTTATTTCATAAAATATAAAACCAACCAGCACACCTTATGACTTAATTTCTTTCTGCTCCACAGGTTTCAGGTGCCGTTTAATGACAAGCTCTCCCTTGCTTGTAAGAAAGGTGTCTGACATTTCCTCTTCTGTTGGCAACCCATAAGGTAATTTCAGTGGCTGTATCCTACAGGCAAAAGAGTTTGCTTAGTGAAGTCCTGTGACCAAAATAGAGTTACAGTAAATGTTCAAAATTAAACAAACAGATAACAAACCTTATCAGATGTTTAATAATTTTCAGTTTGGCATTCACAGAAGGGATATTTTTGTGCAGTCTTGGCTGATGTGCCTATGTAAATGACAGAGCAGGTTTTACAAATGCATTGCTCAACTCCAGATCTCCCAATCAAACAGTTTTCAGGCTATCAGTAAAAATACAAACTACTTTTGCAAATATAAGATGTAGAGAAATGTCAAGCATCAAGAACATACATAAAAATATGAAAGCGAAACTTTATCAAGCTCAATTCCAGTAAAATGACAAATTCAGCTTTACTGTCATTGCATTATCAATATATTTCATTTTCTTCCAACTGTTAAAAATACTGTAAAGGTAAATGCAGGAGTTCAGGGGTAAGACTGCTTGCTTCAGTTAGATCTTAAATGGATCAAGCACACTTTGTCTGTGATATAACACTGACTAGCTAAATCTTTGCACAATGTGCAGATGGCCTAAAAAACTGGATAAACCCATCTTTGACACAAACTCTTGAATTTGGAAGCCTTTTCATAAATAAACAAGAATATCTGCCTACCTCAAATAACTGAATAACCTGACCATAGAGAAAACTGAATTCAAAGTATTTACAAATCGGTTCCTCTTATTGTAGCAGAATTCTCAATTCACAAAGTTTTCCTCAGGCATCCAGAGCAATACCATAAAGTGATATTCTGAATTACCACTAAAAGAACACTTGCCATTAACTTTCCTCCCAGCTCTTACACACATGATCTATTTCTCAATTACAATTATATTTATGGCAGCTGTAAAACAATCAAAGCTTTGCAACTACAAAATTGAGATCCTTAAAAACAAAAAAAAACCCCACCAAAATCCCACCACCTTAATTCTACCCTCAGGTTCTAAATTTGTGATGTACACAGCAAGTATAAAGAACAACAATCATACTTTATCCAGGCCAAGATCATGTACTATCTTCTTTTCCCAATACGGGCGACCGATTGCACTTTTTATTCTAGTAACAACGTGGATTTTGTGGGGCTGCTCAGGGTCACCTCCATACTTTTCATGGTCTCCAGGCCGTGGCTGAAATACCTAGAGTAAGAAGGTTCATGAAAACAGAAGTTGGGTTTGTTCTTTTTTTTCTCTAAATATCTGAATTATTATTACTATTGTTAACAAAACTCTAAAACATACTTCAACCTTGGTAAAAATTATTACATATTCAACTACCTTTCTTTTCAAAAGGTCAAAGTACCAACAAGTGACCTCAAATTTAGCTTTTATAACGTTAATTCAATATTTTTATAGTGGTTTGCTAATGAATACATTAATTCTTGGAGTTTGACTGTACAACTCCATAGAAATACATGGACAATGCTCTACACCAGCACAGTACTTTGGTCACATGTACCTAATTGAAGAGCCTCTGCTCAGCCTCTGAATGGTAAGGTTTTTCATAGGCTTTAAGAATGATTTTAAGGCAGAGAGTCAACTGACACTAGATGGTATCTTGCAAAAAGGAAAGCTAAAAGTGTAAAAGTAAAAATATAAGTCACATTTCCCATCACTTTAGTTAGTTTTTTACTAAGTAGATTATTTCGATTGGAAGGGACCTACGATGATCTGGCCTGAAGATTAAAATGTTATTAAGGGCATTGTCCAAATGCCCCTCAAACACTGACAGACTGGAGGCATCCACCACCTCTCTAGGAATCCTGTTCCAGGGTTTGACCACCCTCTCAGTACAGAAATGCCTCCTCATGTCAAGTCAAAACCTCCCCACACACAGCTCTGAACCTTTCCCACGTGTTCTGCCACTGGGTGCCAGGGAGAAGAGCTCAGCACCACCCTCTCTCCTCGGGAATCTGTAGAAAGTGATGAGGTTGCCCCTCAGCCTCCTTTTCTCCAACTAGACAAGTCCTCAGCCACTCCTCTCAGGACACACCTTCCAGCCCTTTCACCAGCTTTGTTGCCATTCTCTGGATTCATTCATTGACTTTTAACACACTTCTTAAATTGTGGGGCCCAGAGCTGCACACAGTACTCGAGGTGAGGCTGCACCAGCACTGCATGCAGTGGGATCATCACCTCTTTTGGGTTGCTGGTCATACTGCGTTGGATGCACCCCAGATGTGATTTGGGCTTTGCCCTCTCGGCGAGCAGAGCTGGTGGCTGACTCCTGCTGAGCCTGCTATGGACCAGCAGCCCCAGATCCAGTTCTGGAGGGCTGCTCTCCAGAGCAGCAGAATCATTCTCTTCAGAGTACAGAATATGGCATTTGTCCTTGTTAAGTTTCATGCCACTGATGATGGCCCAACGCTCCCACCTATCTAGATCCCTTTGCAAGGCCTCCTGTCTCTTGAAAGAGTTGACAGCACCTCCCAGTTGGTTATGTCAGCAAACTTGCTAATAATGCATTCAACTACTGCATCCAGATCACTGATAAAAACATAGCAACAGAAACGGCCCTGGGACTGAGCCCTGAGGAACACCACTGGTGCCCAGCTGCCAGCCAGCTGTAGCCCTGTTCACTACAGCCTTCTGAGCTCTGCCCTTCAGCCAATTCTTCACCCAGCACACCACGAACCTGCTCATCCCAAAGGCTCTACAACTCTGCCGTACCACAGGAAGCACAGAATTAAGCACGTGAACACCTATGTTAGTTTCTCAACTACCGAAGCACATACCCAGTCTGGAATTCTCGACCTGGTGAAGAGACAACGAGCCCACACTGCAGGCGCCATCCCCTCCATCCTCCTCCCCAGCATCTGCAAAGAGAGCGGGACAGAACTCGTCGGGACTTTCCTCACGGCAGACTGCACAGCCGAGCAGACCCGCGCTGACACCGGCCGC